ACCTTGTCCTCTCGTAACTGATGACTGGAGTTCAGCACAGGTGATCGCCTTCTTCCTGTGTGCACAGGTGATATCCTTCTACATTTCTGTGGCTTTCCAGGAGGACCAGCTGCATCCCTGATTCAGTAACCTCCAGCCATTTGTGATCCATGAACTACCGCTGTCTTTGACTCATCTTGTCTCTGGGGTGTGTTTCCTCTCCCCACACCTGCACTGGGCTCACACAGGCACCTGAACAGCTGTCCAAAGCTGGGCTCATCACCATCCTGCCCCAGCCCACTCACCCTCCATCTCACCGGGTGGACAGTGGAAAATCCAGACACTGCCTGCATCCTTTCTGTCCCTCATCATGTGGCCTCACCACCCTCAGCTCTTCCTCCTAGAAAGCCACCTGCACTGGCTACGTGCATTCCTCCTGTCTTGTCATCTCCAAAGGGCAAGTGTGATTTGCCCCTGCCTCTGTGGAAGCCTTTGACACACTTCCCAGGAGCCTGAGTCTGAGCTTGAAGCTTTGTCAGTAGCTCACACTAGGTCTGTCCTAGTTTGTTTCTTCAGCACTTTGATAAAATACTCTGACCAATGCCAACTTGGGGAGGAAAGGGCTTATTTGTCTTACACCTCCCAGGTCACAGTTCATCCGGGAGCCCAAGGTAGGAACTCAGGGCAGGAACCTGGAGGCAGGAGCTGGAGCACAGGCCATGGAGGAATGCTGCTTACTGACTTGCTCCCTTGGCCCCTGCTCAGCCTGCTTTCTTATGCAACACAGGCCCACCTGCCCAGGGGTGGCACCACCCACAGTGGGCCCTCCCACATCACTCAACAATCAAGAAAATTCTCCACAGACATGGCAACAGGCCAGTCTAATGGAGGCACTTCCCCAATTGAGGCTCCCTCAACCCAGGTGTGTCAGGCTGACACTAAAGCTGTTCAGCACAAGGTCCTTCTCTCCTTCCTGTCCCGTCTCCCTTCTCTAGGCTGCCTTCCTGTCCTGTCCCCAGGAGGTGCTACCCCTGCGGCCCCTGCATCCAGCGGTGACCACCTCCTAGAATGTTCTGTATTTCCTTGCCTTCTCCTTCAGGGACTCCCATAGAACTCAGGTCCTGTCCAAGGCCCAAAGGTGTCCCCACCACTCAACCATGCAGATGGCCTCTGAGTGAGGGGGTGTTTCTCCTGAGTCTCCCCTTGTGTGGTGGGCATCAGTGCTGCCCACATGTGGAGTCAGGGCCCACTGCCCTTGGTTGACCATGTCTGGAGGCATGACCAGCTTTGCTGCTGAGGTCTCAGTGTCCTTTCAGATGAAAATTTCAGGAGTCTAAACTTAGTTTGCTATCAGTGCTGTGGGTGGGACCCTGTCTGATAAGGAACTTCTCTACTATTTCCCAGTAGAGAAATATCTTAAGACTGTGAGACTCCAGTGGTGTTTTCTTACTCTGTGTGATATAGCTTAAATCAACAGATGTACCCTGGGTCTTCTCGAAGCCAGGGATCGATTGCCTCTGTATGTGTTTAATAAACATCCCAACAGAAGGAACAGTCCATAAAAGGGGCACACACTGCACACCCACTTGTGCCTGACTTGCAGCCTGGTGCCTGGCTCAGGCTGGCCCCCAGTGTGGAATGCAAGCTTTGTACCTGACGCCGTCCCCTCCTCAGTGCGGAGGGACCCTGCCTCTGCTGTGTGTGCACTTCCAGGAGACGCTTCACTGCATGGGCCTCTCCTTTATGGTTGGATTTGCACTCGTGATTGTTCATTAAATGAAGTCAATTTAAGTCCCAACTCACTGGAGACAGGGCAAACTGCTGCCCACCAGACACACATCCATGCTCGCCTGCTGGTGTGGATGCCATGTGTCCAGTCTTGGCAAAGTTTGGTTTGGTGGTAGGTTCCTTCTGGGCTTTGTATTAAACCTAAAAAGTAGAAGTTTAGCAAAGGGGGGGATGCTATTTTCAGTTTCTCTCTAGGAGCACAGCCCAGCAGCTGCCTCGGGCACCATCTGTCTTGTGTGCAGAGATGGGAGGTGCTACGTGCACCTGCAGATGTGGGTTGTAGATGCCGCACCATCATCTCTTCCTTTTATGCAACATCTTCTCACATCTCCAGGGGTCAGGACTAGGTAGCTGTGTGCTTCATGATGCAGAGATTTGTCCATGACATCATAGTTAAGCATGGCCATGAAGAATCAGAATCTTGAACCCTAGGTCTCCCAAATGGCTTTTATTGACTCGCAGACGGCCAAACCTAACAGGAAGGGTTGGAATATGGATCCAGGGCCATCCCCAGTGGATTTAAGGCCTTTCGCATGGGTCATATTCCTGTGACTGCGACTGAGGGCAGCCTCACTGACTCTAGAATAAACAGGATGCAGAGTTCACAGCAGGATGAGCATAGGCAAAAGCCTGGGCGCTAGAGCTCTGCTCCCACTATGATTTCCCCAGTCATCCTTGCCACTTCTGAGGCATACGGAGACCATTCCCTAGTACGGAGAGGAGGACCCTCCCC